TACTTCATAACTGTAATGTTGCTACTGTTATGAATCGTAATGTAAATGTCTGATATGCAGGATGGTCTTAGGCGACCCGTGTGAAAGGGTCGTTCCACCGCCAAACGGCTGCCTTGATGGCTTGTGCTGCTCTGGCGCGCCGCTGTCCTCCGGTGCCGCCCAGTGGCACCTCTGCGCAGCCCAGCGAGGCCTCACAGGCCCCAGCTGCGCACTCCCCTTCCGTGTGAGCCACGGCTTAGAAATTGCACTTCACTGATTTGCAGAGACGAGTCCCTGACTGGCTCTGAGGGCGTGTCCTGGGGCCATTGTCACCCAGTTCCTGCGTCAGGAGGACTCTTGTCTGACTCTGGCTCCGTGAACAGTAGAGTCTTTTCACAGGTGTCTGTGCTGCCTCCCCCCCAGGGAGCCTTTAAATGCTGACGAGGCCTCTGGTGCCCAGTGGTGAGGCCTGTGCTTTGTTGCAGCTGTTTTTCTGACCGAGGCTCTCTGAAGAGCATGATGCAGTCCAGCACCTTAACCAAGGACGAGGGCGTGCAGCGGGACCTGGAGAGCAGCCTGCAGGCGGAGGCCTATGAGCGGAGGATCCGGAGGCTGGAGCAAGAGAAACTGGAGCTAAGCAGGAAGCTGCAAGGTGAGGGCCGGCTCCTGTGGCTACGGAGCTCGCACCAGGGCCGCGCTCACACCTGTGTTTCCCCCCTCCCCCCCCTAGAGTCTACGCAGACCGTGCAGTCCCTCCACAGCTCAGCTCGGGGCCTGGGCGGTGTGGCCCGAGATAAAGAGGTGAAAAAGCTGACTGAGGAGATCGAGCGCCTGAAGAATAAAATAGCAGGTACATTCTACAGTCGGACCGAGTAGTCTCTGCTCTCAGAGGGCGTTGGTCTCTGCAGAGAAAACTTCAGAGCCTTTTCTCGCGGCGCAGAAGCAGGGCAAGCCTCAGCGTTAGCAGGCTGGTCAGAGCTCCACATTTTGTCAGTTTATTTAAAGCCCTTCCCCAGGTGCTGAGCGCTGATGCTTTCATAGCTCCAGCAGTCAGTTCCTGCTGTTCACCCCAGACTCGGAGCCTGTTGCCCTCCCTGCCCTGGCTCCTCGGCTCTGAGACCACACCCGGCCTCTCCACCGCAGCGAGCCTGCTCTCAGTGTCCTGGTGCTGGATCTGCTGCCCTGGTTCCTGGGTTATCGGTTCCCTAAAGACGAGTCACTTCTAAGTCTTAACCCTTGACCTGACGGGTTGGCGCTGCCACTGACGCATCGCCAGGCAGACCGAGGCGGGCAGCTTCTCCCCAGGTCTGTCTGGAACCCGCGTCCCCACCCGCAAAGGCTCCATGGAGTCTGCTCTCAGCAAAGCTGTTGCCCCTGGGGCTCCACTGCCAGCTGCACAGGGTAGTGAGGATGAGGCAGGAGGGTGCACAGGTGGCTGCAGGGCCCTGCTGTGCGTGGGGAAGTCCGGAGGCCTCTGCCTGAGAGCGGGCGGGTCATGCGTGTTCAGGCCGGAATCAGATAGGAGCTTTCGCGGGGGAGGGCACACAGTTTGTTCTCTCCTTTGCTCAGACTCAAATAAGCTCGAGCGACAACTGGAGGACGCCGTGGCGCTTCGCTCGGAGCAGGAGGGTTCCGCGCTCCGGCTGAAAGGCCTGGAAAAGCAGTACCGCGTGGCGCGGCAGGAGAAGGAGGACTTCCACAAGGTAGCGGGCGACTGCTGTGCAGAGGGGACGGGCGGGCGGTCTGCGTGCTCCGTGTGGCACAGCCTGGGGGCAGCCCCCCGGACGGTAGCCCCGCAGCTGCCCTGCTTCCAGAGGGACGCTTGGTCACCACAGTCTGTGCAGAGGAGGCCCTGCTAACATTTGGGTGTTTCCCCAAACTCCCCTATCAGTTTGACTTTTCAGGAGGACACGTCACTGTGTTCACTCGGGGTTGAGTTTTCTAAAAAGGCTCATTTAGACCCTCAGGTCAGTGGCCTGCGCTTGGGGTCTGTTCTCTAAGATGTGGGGCTTTCAAACCCAGGCTGTCGGTGGCTCACATGGTGTCACGGCACCTGCAGTGCATGGTCTGGTGTGCGCTGGGGTGCCCTGCTGCTCCCCGTGTCAGAAAGCCGCTCTGAGCCCACGGGGCCTGGTGTGGGCGCTCCCCTCCCCGCGCGGGAGCTACCCCCAACCTGTTCGGGTCCCACTCCTTCCAGCCTCGGGCCAGCGGGTGCCACAGGGACCAGCTGCAGGGAGGGGAGGTCAGTGCAGCCAGAGGGACACCAGCCTCCCCCCTCAGCCTCCAGGAAAGGGCCAGCTGCCCGGCACTGTTCAGTTCTTTACTTTGATCGGAGTCTTAAGCCTCCCCGTGTGTAACATGTCCTTTCCAGTTCTGCTGTCTGAATGGTGGGAACTCTGGTTACTTAACATTCACCAGAGTTCATGCCTCGTCCACCTCTGTGCTTGTGTGGGCGGCACAGAGGCGGCCGCCGTGCAGGTGTGGAGCGTCGTTGCCCGGGCTGGAGGGTCTGTCGGGATGGGGGCTGAGCCGAGCTCAGGTGCACTTCCAGTCCCTCTGCACACAGCCGAGCTGGGGCAGAGGGACTGTGCCTGGCGGGCGAGCCTCGGACCGCGCTGTCCCTGAGCTCCCCGCCTTCACATCTCTGCGACAGCAGCGTCCAGCAGCGTCATTCTTTCCGTTCAGCAACTGGTCGAAGCGTCCGAGCGCTTGAAGTCCCAGGCCAAAGAGCTGAAAGATGCCCACCAGCAGCGGAAGCTGGCCCTGCAGGAGTTCTCGGAGCTCAGCGAGCGCGTGGCAGAGCTGCGCGCTCAGAAGCAGAAGGTGTCCCGGCAGCTCCGCGACAAGGAGGAGGAGGTGGAGGCCGCCATGCAGAAGGTCGACTCCATGCGGCAGGAGGTCCGCAAATCCGAGAGGCTCAGGAAGGAGGTAGGAGCGTGGGCGCGGCTGCACCAGTGGGCCTCCGTGTGACCTGACACACCTCTAGAAGCTGGCGCCGCACAGCGCCCGCAGAGTGGCTCGTGCACTCGGGCGAAGCCCAGTGAGGGGATCTGGCCGGCGATGGCTCAGGGGTCTCAGCCCCACGTCCATGTGTGACGTCAGTAAGTGACTCGGTGGTGCTGGTTTAAAGTCGCCTGTGAAAGCTGATAGAGGTGCTCATGCCCACAGATGTGACAGAAACACGCCGATGGGCTGCAGCGGGGCTTCCGGGAACGTGCGCACCTGCGTCCATGCAGCCGCCAGGAGCGGGCGGGCTCGGCCCGCGCCCTATGCCCGAGCCCACGGTCCTCACGCTGGCAGGCCAGTGGGGCCTGGAGAGCGCGTCTGTGTGGCTGGTGGCTCTTAACGTTCACCGCGTTAGACGTGAAAAGTGGAACTTTTTTCATTATAACAGCAAACCCATTACAAGTTAGCATAAGTAGTGTTTTTTTTTTTTTTAATTTATTGATTTTTCACAGAGAGGAAGGGAGAGAGATAGAGAGTTAGAAACATCAATGAGAGAGAAACATCGATCAGCTGCCTCCTGCACATCTCCCACTGGGGATGTGCCCGCAACCCAGATACATGCCCTTGACCGGAATCGAACCTGGGACCTTTCAGTCCGCAGGCCGACGCTCTATCCACTGAGCCAAACCGGTTTCGGCAATAAGTAGTGTTTTTAAAGAAGTATTTTCCCCAAAAATGTAGCGAGAAGAGTGGCATTTTTCACATTTTTGTACTTTTCTAAGATAACTGGCTGAACAGAAAACACCTCTGTGCCCACCTGCTCTGTGTTCTGTGTGGTGGGCCCTGTCTGGGAATGGGCGGGAGAAACCCTGGGGCGGGGGGCGGGGAGCAAAGGGAGGCTTGAGGCCCTGGAGAGAAGCGTGGCCTCGGGGTCCCCGCGTCCTGCTGTTGGTGGGGACGCGCTGTGAGCCCGGAACGCTCCTCCTCGCTCAGGGCCTGTCGTCATCCGCCTCAGAAGCCTCTTGGCTGTGGTTAATGTTGGCCCCGTTACAGACGCCCCTCACTCCCCAGTGCTCCCCTTCACCACCCAGTCCCCGCCTTCCCCACACTATTGTCTGTGTCTGTGGGCTGTGCATGTGCATGTGTGTTCTTAGAGTCCGGCGCATTAGACCACTCGGCCATCCTGACACACTGGTACATGTATGTTTATCCCGACACACTGGTACATGTATGTTTACCCCGACACACTGGTACATGTATGTTTATCCCGACACACTGGTGCATGTATGTTTATCCTGACACACTGGTGCATGTATGTTTATCCTGACACACTGGTGCATGTATGTTCTCTGGTTAGTTTCTTCCAGTTCCCGTCCCCCTCACCCCCCTCCGAGATCTGTTGGTCTGTTTCATGCAGCCAGGCCTCTGGTCCTACTTTGTTCATCAGTTTATTTTGTTCATTAGATTCCACATATGAGTGAGATCATGTGATCCTTGTCTTTCTCTGACTGGCTTATTTCACTTAGTTAGCATAATACTCTCCAGGTCCCTCCATGCTGTCTCGAAGGGTAAGAGGTCCTTCTTTTTACTGTTGCACAGTGTTCCGTGGTGTAGATGTACCATAGCTTTTTATCCACTGTCTACTGATGGGCACTTGGGCTGTTTCCAGACCTCAGCTATCGCACATTGCGCTGCTATGGACATGGGGTGCACACATTCGTTCTGATGGGTGTTTCGGGATCCCAGCAGTGGGATCACTGGGTTAAGTGGCAGCTCCATCTGTCATTTTTGGAGGAAGCTCCACACTGTTCTGCACAGCGGCTGCCCCAGTCTGCATCCCCACGTGCTATTCTGCAGCCCGGATGCGTCTGTAGTTGTAGCCACTGTGACTCAGGGGGAGCCTGCCAGCACCGCCGCTCGGTGGATGGGGTGGGGGGTGCTGGGCCCGCGGACCCGCTGGGAGCAGAAGTGCTGCATTTAAGAAGCTAGTGCGTGTCCTCCAATAGCAGAGAACTTGTGTTCACAAACCAGTGCCTTTCTCGATGTTCCCCGTCACATTACCCCAATCGCCGCAGAGTCTTAACGTTTTAGACTAACCTGAGATGGCATTGAACCATTAGGGAGTGCTCCATATATTATCAACGTGGCCAGACCAG